TACATGTCCATATATTTTAAAAAAATAATAAAAAATAAATGTATAATCCTGATTAAATTTAAGATTTATTAAAAGTATAATAACTAAATTTGTATAATTGGAAGCACAAACCTAAAGGACCAAAATGTCATTTTACCCTACTAAGTTTTAGGTATAATTTTATCTAGACCGCTTAAATTAAATTAGTGAGTGATATATATATTCAAAATTATGTTATTAATTTGTTACATAATTAAAATATACATTATGTAAAAAAATTAAATAAAAATAACATATATTAAAATCTTCCCTTTGTGTTATTTATTGTTTTGATGTATCCTAAAATACAAGGATATTAAAATACATTTTGATTATAAAATAATATAGATAATGTCAACCCATAAGCTATGTGAAGGGACATATAACACAATTTATGCATTATATAAATTAATATTTAACCACTTGAATTTTGTTTTGGAGTACTAAAATTATCCCAATTCAACTAAATATTTAATTTTTTCCACTTGTAATTCAACTTTTTGTTTAATATTTAAGGATTTTGAAAGATATTATACCTACAAACTTAAAAAAATTTCAACTAAACTTATAATTTAACGGAATAAAAATTACGTACCCTTCTCTCGAGAACGGAAGTTCAAATCTTTATACCCTTTATTTGTAATCTTAAATCGTCAAAACGGGCACAGTTCAACAGTAATTGACATGTAATTATTCTCTTTAACTCTACTTTCTGCACTGAAAAAGGATCTAAATCGAAACAGGTCAATTGTGATTGTTATGTTTATAGCTGATGAACGATGAACGATGAACGATGAACGAAGTCAACCGTTTTTTAGATGCTCGTTTTTTAATGAAGAACGGAAGGAATGAATTAGAAGTAGTTAGAAGGGTAGGTGAGATGGGGATGGGAAATGATTTGCTTGAAGAGGAGGCAATACACAATGCTCAACCAACAACCGAGCAGTATAAAATAAAACAAAAGAAAGCATCAAATTGATGGGTTTGATAGACATGGAGAGTATTAGTTGCAAGCACTTTCTCCACTTTTTCTCTTATTTTCTATTCATCCATCCCTTTCTAAAGTGGTGTGGAGTTGGTGAGTTGACAAAAATAAGCAACATTCTTTTGCATCTTGTTGTTTGTTCATCAAAACCCACCAAATTTCTTCAAAACTTTGAGTATTAGGGTTTTCTTTTACGTCAAATGAAAAACTCTTTCTAGCTGACATGTTTTAAAATCTCGAGAAGAAGTTTAGAAGGAAAACTTAATTACTAGTAGTGTCAGCGAGGACGCTGGCCCCAAATTCCACATTGGTCGAAGAAGAAACGAAGCATTTCTTATAAGGGTGTGGACTCCGTAATAGACACGTTTTAAAACCTTGAGTACAATATTTGCTAGCGGTGGGTTTTGGCTGCTACAGTAAATATCTGATTTGTTATCTAAATAACGGGAGAAGAGAGACCCTCCAAAATAGGGAGATCTTCACACGAGTGTGTATCACGCCCAGATCAATAGTTAAGTTAGAGAGTGAAGAAGTGCATCGAACTTAAGGTTTTGTGAGGACATATTTATATAAGAGTTAGACCTAGAGCTCCCAAATTTGAGTAGCCTCGACCTCGCTTAATGTGAATACTCTCCCCCAAGTCTATTTGGGTATTAGGGTATAGCCCGGAGTTAGGTTTCATTTACTTTTTGATCATTTACTTCTGAATTTGTCATGTTTCAATTTATAGAAAAGTAACAATATATATATATATATACTTATTTATTTATTGTGTTAATTTTCTATAAATTTTTTTATAATACATCTATTTTATAGTTTATTTAACACATGAAAAATATATTTGGAGCAAATTTTATTAAAAGGTTAAAATTTTAATTGAAGATTTAGAATTAAAATTAATATAAGACAAGTTTAGAAATAAAAATTAATGCTGACAAGACAAATTTTGGTAATAAAAATGGTCAGTTAGTTATAAATTAATAACAAAATTACGAATGATTGAATTTCGTGACCAATTAAAAAATGACATGTGTCCCAAATTTAAATTAAAGACAAAAAGGGACAAACTCGAGATAATGTCAACTGTCACACCACGACCATCAAATTGGGCCATAATATTTGGGCCCAACCTTAAATAAATCAAATCCAAATGATTAGGCCCAAATGTCGTCTAAACCCATGTCCACATAGAGGAGGAGCTCTCGTTATTAAGCAGTTAAACTTTAATTTTCAATTAGTCTCTCCAAATTTTAATTTTTTTTATTTAATAATTTTATGATACATTCAACAATTTTTAAATTAATAAATATATTTGATAAAAAAAAATTAAAATTTATGTGATGTATTTAATAGGTTCATAAATTCAAAAGATATATTAAATATGTTAAAGCTTTTTAAAGGTAAGATATTTAATGAATATAATAAAGAAGGGAATTAAGCTGAAAAAAAAAATAAATAATTAAGGGAAGTTTGATTGGCTATTTATTATTTAAATGATTTGATTAACCGTTACCTGCAATTAGTTCTGGAAATGTTGTCTTAAAATATTTAAGTATTAAATCAAGAAAAGAATTGAGTAGCCATAAATTTCACCTGACATTGGAAAGTGATTTGAAGACTTTTTATTTTTGGTTGTTAAATTACATTTTAAAACTATTGATGTCATTCCTTATTTTCTTCCCTTTGTATTTAATAGTTTTTGTTAGTCGTTTGTGGTTCTTACGGATATTTAGTATTAAATTATAGTTTACTATATATATCATATTTGATATTTTATTATAAGACATTCTCATTTATTACTTATTTGATTATAAATAAGATAACTTTCACGCCCTTTAGGTGTAGTGGATTAAGCAAATATTATGATTGATAGTTGACTTATTTAAAGTCATTTAATATTTATGGTGAAATACCAAAAAAAAAAACCGATTTATTATGTTTCTTTCGAACTTTGCTTTGTTTGATATTAAACCGATTTATTGGATTAGTCTTGATCAAGTTAATTATGGAGTGAGTCATGTTTGAATCTAAAAGTAACCATTATAGATTTCAAGTTCGATTTAAGAGTTATTCATCTTCTAACCCGTTTTTTATTAGAATCAGTTAATTAAATTAGCTTTGTTTATGAACGATTGGGTTTGCAAAATCAATCTTAGAACAAAATTCTTCCAAACATGGAAGGAGTAAAAATTCCTATATAAAATTTGGATTTATACAAAAACGGTGGGAATTCTGGTTTTTATTTTTATTTTAAAAATAATTTTTCAAGTTTAAAACGTTTTAAATGAAAATAAATATTTTAAAGAATTTTTTAATCTTTTATCTTCCTCCCATATTTCGATTTGTGGAAATCCCATTTTCTTAAATTATTTTTTTTTCGTTTTTATTCTAATTGTAATTTCCAAATTCTTTTAGGCATTTTTATGCTTCCCTTCTAAAAATAAAATAAAAATATTCTTATATCATAATTAATAATGAACCTTAAGTAACTCTAAGTTGATGTTAGTGATATTTACCTTACCCTACATGTCGGGTATGTTTTATATATGATTTCATGAGGTTCTATGTTCGGTGAGACCTGGTTCTACCAATCGGTGATCAGCTGACTTCTAATGACGTTTAATATTACATAAATGACCTATTGAAGCACCATAGTTAGTGATTATAGAGGCTTTTATGAGGTAATGTGTTGTGATAGGCCGAACACAATTAGAGTACTGTTTACTAACCTCTAGTGTGCTTTGTTCTTACTAAACTAGCCCACACATGTACCATGTGTATAGATTGGAAATAGGTTAATAGTCCTCGAGACATAGTATTTTTCATGTTTTTTTTTTCTTATAGAAAACACTTAGGCATATATATATATATATGTATAACATCTCCCACACATAATCAAAATATTATGAGTTTAAGGTTGCTTATGGAGTATATTTTTATTGTGAAACCCCATATCGGTTGGAGAGGAGAACGAAACATTCTTTATAAGGGGTGCGGAAACATCTTCTTAACAGATGCGTTTTAAAATCGTGAGACTGATAGCGATACGTAACGAGCTAAATCGGACAATATCTACTACTGATGAGCTTGAGCTATTAGATTTATACTCACTCATGCTACTTTTCATTTCCATTCTCAAACGATGCTTAGACTCACCAGGTGTGTGGAGAAAGCGTTCAAGCTCACAAAGGTATGGAGATGGATCAGGATCATACAAGCTTTCAATTTTTTCGTTCACTATTTTTAAAACAACTTTATTGAACTAGGCCATTACATCATGGTAACAATCATGACACCTCATCATCTCAAAATACTCTCGATTCTATCCAACCATAGTCTTCATTTGTAGCAACCCTAGCCAGCAACATGTTATCCCTGAGAATATTTGCTAAAACCACCCCACCTAAATTGGAAAGTTATTTATTTATAATAAAATAAATTACAAGATATAGAAAGAGTAATAAATGAAAATAACAATAAATAAAAAAATACTGGATGGTCAAATATTTATATTTGCCTTTAATAAAATATCAAATATGATATACATGGTAAACTATAATTTAGTATTAAATATCTTTAACAGTCTCCCCACCTTAGGACTTAAAATCAACAAGTGAACCAACTACATATCGCATCAGTTCAATTCAATTCTCAACTGAGCTAAAATTGAAAGAATCAAACTAAATGATCAACTTTAATCTTATCAACTGAACTATACTCAAATTGATTAATTTTATTTTGAATCGATAAACATAAAAATAATAATAATAATAATAATAAAAAAGGGAAAAAAAAGCAATAAAAGTAGAAAAAAGGGAATAAAAAAAGAAAAGGAGAGCCAGCCAGCGTCGAAGGGTGGGGTCGGAGGTTCGAGTAATAGCCGGGGCATCCGTTTTTGTTTTGGAGCGCCGTAACGGCCATGCATCCTCCTTATGATTGTATTTTGTGCTCTTTCTCTAACCCCTTTTTATTCTCTCTTAAAACCTCCCCACTCTCCCTTCCCTCTCCTCACCCCCACCGCCGCCCATCTCCGCCATGTCCAGCCTCCACCACCTCCCTTGGGCCCTCCTTAACTCCTGCTCCGACATCGACCATTTCCCTCCGCCGCCCACGCAGTCCGGGAAGAAGAGAGACGCGGCGGAGAGAAAATCATGTGGCGGGGCCGCGTCCGCTCATGACATTCATATTTGGACGGAGAGAGAACGCCGGAAGAAAATGAGAACCATGTTCGCTAATCTTCATGCTTTGCTTCCTCATCTTCCGGCTAAGGTATTATTTATTTATTTATTTATTTATTTTTCATCTCATTCTCATCCACTGTATATATATTTTCTTGTTCATAAAGAGACAAGCAGTGGCATTATCATCAAGCTTTTTTAATAATAATAATGGAGAGATTTGATTTTAATGGCATGTTTTTAATGTAAATAAATAAAAAGGGACATGTTTTTTTTTAAATGGAAAATAAAACAAATAGAGTATTGAAGAACATTCACATTTTTTAAGAAAAGTGGCCATGGTATGTTTTTTGTTTTAAGAAATTAGTTGTCATGATTTTTTTTAATTAAAAATAATAATTTAGGTTTGTTTTGTCTCGGGAATAGATATAATCATTGTGAGTATCTCCAAGAGTGTGAAATTTTTTTCTTAGCAAACACGTTTTAAAAACATTGAGGTGAGAGAAGAACGAAACATTTTTTATAAAGTTGTGGAAACCTCTCCTTAACAGCCAACCCGAGAGAGAAAACCCAAGAAGTATAATATCTACTAGCGGTGAGCTTGAGCTGTTACAATCAGTGTTACTGACCCAGTTTAACTAATGAGAATAAATCTCTTTGCTTACTCTTCATTCCTAGTCCCGTTTGATGTAGGTAGTGTTACTGAATGCTAGCGGTGAACTTGGACTGCTTTCTGCTTACTCTTCATTCCTGGTCCTGTTTGATGTGGGTAGTGTTACTGACCTAGTTTAGCTAATTCTAACGGTGAACTTGGACTGTTTTCTGCATACTCTTTATTCCTAGTCCCGTTTGATGTGGGTAGTGTTACTGACCCAGTTTAGCTAATGCTAGTGGTGAACTTGGATTGCTTTCTGTTTACTCTTCATTCCTAGTCCCGTTTGATGTAGGTAGTGTTACTAACCCAGTTTAGCTAATGCTAGCGGTGAACTTGGACTGTTTTCTGCTTACTCTTCATTCTTGGTCCCGTTTGATATGGGTATTGTTACTGACCCAATTTAGCTAATGCTAGCAGTGAACTTGGACTGCTTTCTGCTTACTCTTCATTCCTAATCCCGTTTGAGGTGGGTAATGTTACTAACCCAGTTTAGCTAACGAAATCTCTCTGCTTACTCTTCATTTCTAGTCTCGTTTGAGGTGGGTAATGTTACTAACCCAGTTTAGCTAACGAAATTTCTCTGCTTACTCTTCATTTCTAGTCTCGTTTGAGGTGGGTTTTTACGGGACATTGGGTTTAATGGACATTAAGAATCTGAAATCGTCTTTTAGCAACGAATGGGATAAGAATTCGAATCTCTAGTTTAATGGTCGAGCACGTAGGGCGGGTTGGCATGCATGCATAGGCTTTTGTGGGTGAAATAATAATCCAATAATGAATGGGTAATGGCAGGTAGACAAATCCAGTTTAGTTGACGAGGCAGTAAATCACATAAAAACCCTTCAACAAACCCTTCAAAATCTCCACAAACAGAAGCTGGAAAGGCTCAACAACGACACTAATCCATCTCTGAGCTTCTCCAAGATTGTTCATCATCCCTCCGCCCGTTCCTCAGCCGCCACAACCCGTGAGGCCTTCTTGGCCAACCAAGCTTCCTCCACCAACGACATGTCGTCCACTCTATTTCCTCAGCTTTCCACCGCCGCTGCTGCAGGCGACAATGTTGTTAGTATTCTCCCTTCGCCACCCTCCTCCTTCCAGACTTGGTTGTCCTCCAACCTCGTCTTGAATGTTTGCGGCCACCATGCCCATTTCTGTATCTGTTCCGTCAAGAAGCCTGGTTTGTTCCCCACGCTTTGTTATGTTCTTGAGAAGCATCAAATCCACGTTGTTTCTGCTCATGTCTCCTCGGATTACCATCGCTCCTTCTTTATGATTCATGCCCACGTAAGTATTCTTTACGTGTTCACTTCTTTTTTTTATTGAGATCATTTCGAAACATGTTTGTAAAGAGTTGTTTTGACGAATGCAGATGAACGGAGGTTACGATGAATTTGAGGCGGCTACGGTGGCGGAAGATACGTTCAAGGAAGCTGCGAGGGAGATCATCTTCTGGTTGTCTTCTTGATGGGATTGTCCCATAGAATTTTGTCTTGTTTATAAAATATAGATGCTTGAATGTTTTTGACTAGGGAAATTTCTACTCAATAAATGCTATTAGGTTCTTTAACTTGAATACGAAAGTAGAGTTAGCAAAATGCTGAATGGAGATAAGAGAAACATTCTCTATAAAGGTATGGAAACCGTAAGACTGATGGTGCTAGTGATAGGCTTGGACTGTTAAAAATGATATTAGAGTCAAACACCGGACAACGTGTTAGCGAGGATGTTGGGCCTCCAAGGGGGTGGATTGTACGATCTCAAATCGGTTGGAGAAGGGGATGAAACATTCTTTACAAGGGTGTGGAAAACTCTCCTTATTAGACGCGCTTTAAAACCCTGATGTTGACGGTGATACGTAACGGACCAAAGCGAACAATAACGGCTAGTGGTGGTGATAAGATAAGGAACCATTACAAGGGGAGTAAGATTCAGATTACCTTATTGATCGAATATCTCAAGGCAAGAACATTGTTTGAGATTCGAATCACTCCACAAGCAAGATCGATCATGTCTAGCTTGAATGATTCTTGTTGATCAAATATCTCAAGGCAAGAACACTTGCTTGAGATTCGAATCACTCCACAAGCAAGATTGATCATGTCGAGCTTGAATGATTCTACATGCAACCTAAACTACATAGAATTGCAAAGAAACTTAGCAATGGGCCAAAGAAGAGCACAAATGCTTCTTTTACTATATTTTTCAAGTCTACTCACAAATACAACGTACATGGCTTTATATAGCCTAAAAAATGACACTACCTTACAAGAGTTGTTACCTTCTTACTTAATGGCCATAATTAATCATTATGTAATTGTAACCTAAAGCAAATAAAAACTCTTAAAATACATTTATGAAATACAATAACTCTAAATTGTAATCCACCCAAAATCTATCTCATGAAACTTCATTCTTCTTCAATGTGGCATGAATTAAAATGTCTTTTGATAATTTCAACAATATTTTCTTTACATCGTTCATTGAAGCATATTGTATGATTGATATCCCTTAGTTCAAATCAGATAGGCTTACCGAAAAGAATGAAAAATGAGTTTGAAAATTACTATGTTTTTTACAAGGTAATGATCCCTTGGTCCTTCACGAGAAGCGTCCTAACCATTTTTCTTTTGAAATTGGGGCATTGGTCCAAATTTCGAGAAAAAGTCTCTTGTTTTTCATTCCCATTGATCGCTTGAGTCTATAGGCTACCTCTCCTATCTGCTTAACTTTGCCTGAAAGGGACCCTCCTATTTCATACGAACTGGAAGGCTGGAGTCAACCTAGAACGAAGGAGACAACCCTAATGTTGTCCCTCTATTAGAAGTGTTCCAGAAATGTAATTTAAAGCAAGAGCGAGAATTCAAACCTCCAACCTCAAAAGAACAAGTACATAATAATTATCATTGAACTATACTCACTTTTGAGCCAAATAGTCGTGGAATTGGCTAAGATTCAACAAGCAATATAGCCCACAAAGGCCAATTCTATTCTCCACCACTTACCACAACAGCGCATGATCTATAACTAGCTGATCGAAGCAAACCCCCTTTTAGCAAATATTGTTGGGTTTCCGCTCTCGTCTCATTGCACCCTAAACTTACATTAGTTCAACAACTATGTTATACAAATTACACGTCCAACGACGACCGAGTTAACTGCATATCCGATGCGCTCGGAAGACGAAGAAGCTTTAGATTCAGACAAATATGATTTCCATCTTAGCACAAGGGTGTGTTTCTATGTGAGTTTTGAAATCATCATTACCTTTGAATCTGAAGGTATATAAAGCCTGCTTCTGTGTCAACCCAACAGGATATATCCTATATAGCTTTAGTTCATCTCCTCCTCTTAAGCTTTCAGGCCGTTCTTGCTTCCAAATTGGGACATGTTTCAAAGACTTGAACTTTTCGAGTACTCTCGATTCTAAAGCCCCCAACGTTAAATTTCCCGACCTGCCATTGTCGAGGCCGAATGATTTGGTTTTCCCAAAGAAAAGCCTTTGAAAACATAACTTAGTTTGGAGTTGAAAGGGTTACCTCAAGAAAATGGATTGCATTTCAAACCGCCCTCTCTCCCTTACGTATAAATGATACACCGTTTCGGAGCCATGAGAGCACTTGCACGGTCGTTTCTTGAACTCGGGACTGTTTTCTTCTTTCTCGTGGATGATGGTTGCCAAGTGGATGCAAAGGCGGCACGATGAGTGTACTGCTGCCATATCGACAAGGGCCTTGAACGAATCGGACGGACCATCATACTTCCATCTATAAGATAAGATAGCCAAATCTTCATCAGATGGAGTGAGAAACAAATGAATTTGTATCATAACGAAATGGAAGAGATTAATCTGACTAATGTCGTTGTTCCGAGTTACCTTAGTGATTGGTTGTACATTTTGGGATTTTCTGCGAGGTATTTCATCGACTTGGCAACCGACTCGACATCGGAAATTTCCTTGATATGCAAATATGAATCAGGAGAAGGAGCAAACTCCTTGATATTTGGAGTACCAACCACCACCGGAATAGTTCCTACAAATAATTGCATTGGCACTCTTAACGAAAATTCGACAAAACGACAATGTTGCATTAAAACTATATGGAATTCTTCAAAGTTATTTTCTAAAAGTATTCGGGTAGAAATATGTGCTAAAACAAGAGTATAAAGAAGTATAACGTAACTAATCCTATAGAAGTGCAGTGTGTCACAACCTCACTGAAAGAGAGTAGGTTGTGAACCCCACACACAAGATAGACAAGGGGCGACCCTCAAGTGGCACTCATCCGGCCACATGAGAGCCAAGATTGAGAAGTGTCATGATGAGACCGAGGACGGTGCATCATCCAACACACCAAAAGTGTACATTGAAGCTAAGTTGAGAAATACACAAGGTTCAAGAGAACGAGACGACACGAGTGTCGAAGATAAGCTCGAAGAGGGCCAAGTAGGGCCTCGAGACAAACCTCAAAAGTCGAGGTTTCGACGTGAGTTTCAGCATACAAGTCAGGAATTAAGTCCGCCGATATGAAAAGTACAACCCAAAATAAAACCAACAAAACAGACCAATTCAGTTTGGTCTTGGTTAGTTTGTATACACCATTCAAAGAAACGGGCCAGCGTAATTAACGACGTGCCTTACAGATATTGGTAACTGCATGAATCAGAGAAATAGGTATGAGGTTCATACCTGCAACAAGAGATTGAAAAAACTTCTCTGTGACATAATCTTCCTCATTGGAATTCTCAAAAGCCAAGCTGAACTTGTAGCGCTTCAAAGTTTCCACTTTGTCAACTGCAAATATGAATCGAATAACAATATCAGCAAATGTTCACTAAGTTATTCCATTTTCAAGTCACTATATCTCTTATTATTGGCAATGCTTTTGAGTATGGAATCGCATTTGAATAACAACGAAATACACGAGCTGGGGACATTAGTTAAGCCTTTCATGTACCCCTTAAAATTAGTAAAGGCGTGTTCGGAGAAAGAGTGTAATGACCCAAGCCCACCGCTAGCAGATATTGTTCTCTTTGAACTTTCCCTTTCGTGCTTTCCCTCAAGGTTTTTAAAACGCGTCTGCTAGAGAAAAGCTTCTACACCCTTATAAAGGGTGTTTCGTTTTCATCCTCAACCAATGTGGGATTCTCACAAAGGGCCTTTCGAAAATGAAGCAGTCTTTGAGAGATAACCCGTGGCGATTTAGTTAACCATGGCCCTAGAAGGAAACCATTTTTAAGGTTGTCCCAGGGGATTCTTTCACCAAGGTTAAGGAATTCTTGAATACATCAAGAGAACTCACATCAGTTTCTCAAAAAAAAAAAAAAATTGCATTAGTTTTCCCAAGATAACAGTCTAAATGGAAAGAACTATGTTGTTTTCCATCTGCTACCCACCTAAGAACTAACTTTCAACGACGACATTCAATCAAGATACGTTGTCAATAATATTAAAAAGTCGGTCAATAAATCAAAGTAGAAGTTTTAGTGCACCTCTTCCATCGCGGTTCCTGTGGCAACTACCATAAGAATCAATTTTGACATCAAATTTCTCAAGTGCTTCAAGAGCTTGCAAACGAAAGTTGCGGGCGCCACAATTCGAAATGAAGGCAGCTGCAAGGGCAGGCTCAGTCTTTGGTTGAACTGGTGCCATTATGTCGTATTCTGCCCACGAAAAATATCCAACAGGAACGTCTGATGAAAGACTAGTGGTCATAACCACAGTGTAACCCTTCCTACAGAAGAAGTTCATTTATTATAGAGCTATAAAAGAAATATGCATCTAAAAGCAACCTATAAAAAGCAGAGAGACATGTGACAAGCACAAGAAAGAATGCAACATTACCAGAACGTTACAGGGAAAAACATTTAAAAGTAAGTATAGGCGAAAGAGTTCTCAATTTGTAGGTATTTAATCTTAGACTATCTGAAAGGTGATAATGTGTAAGCGTGGGGAAGAACCTAAGACAATCCCCATATATGAACATTTGGATTATGCAGTCCAAGGAAAATAACCACCACTTTAATGGAAAACTGTGGTCCATAATCTAGATGATGAAAATTGAACAGGACTAAGGGGTAAATTTCCTTGAACCATATAATCCGTAGACCGTAACAGCCCAAGCCCACCACTAGTAGATATTGTCCTCTTTGAGCCTTCTCTTCTAGGTTTCCCCTCAAAGTTTTAAAACGCATCTGTTAGGGAGAGGTTTCTATACCCTTATAAGGAATGTTTCGTTCCTCTCTCCACTGATGTGGGATCTCACAATCCACACCCCTTAAGAGCCCAACGTCCTCACTGGCACAACGCTTGAAGTTTGGTTCTGATACTATTTGTAACAGCCCAAGTCCATTGTTAGTAGATATTGTCATCTTTGGGCTTTCCCTTATGAGCTTCCCCTCAAGGTTTTAAAACGCGTTTGTTAGAGAGAGATTTCTACACCCTTATAAGGAATGTTTCGTTCCCTTCTCCAACTGATGTGAGATCTCACAATCCACCCCTTGGGAGCCCAGCGTCCTCGTTGGCACACCACCCGGAGTTTGGCTCTAATACCATTTGTAACAACCCAAGTCCACCACTAGCAGATATTGTCCTCTTTAGGCTTTCTCTTCTAGGCTTCCCCTCAAGGTTTTAAAACGCGTCTATTAGGAGAGGTTTCCACACCCTTATAAGGAATGCTTTGTTCCCCTCTCCAACCGATGTGGGATCTCACAAAGACCTACCGACAACTTTCTGTGTCATAGAAGAAGATGTCAAGTAAGCTCCAAAAGAGGAGGGATACCTATAAAGTGAAGTGCATGGTAGCAGCTTGGAACTTCACTTCACGTTAATTGTATGTGTGCAGCTAGAGCTAGTAATTAAGTTTGTAGGTTGGCTCAAGGGGGGTAGCTTGGAATTTGAATTAGACTTGGGAGAGAGGACTCTCAAATTACCTATAACCTTGGCTAGAACAGAAGATTCCTCCTTGATTACCAATTTTTTCTTACTGCTATCAGTTTCAAATGAAAAAAGAACATGTACCAAGACCAGCAATGATGTTCACTATCATCACCAAGGCTATAAAGTTATCTTTATCATTGAGAATTACTGCAGTCAGGAATAATGTAATGGAAAGCAGTTCTCTAAACTGTAACAATCCATCATATTAGTTAAGCTTACCCACCGTCTTGCCAAAGCAATATTGTTCTCTGGATAGTAATGCGACGATTCCATCGAACGAAGGACGCTAGCAACATGACCTTGTTGAGGTGATCCCAATGCAGCATCAGGCTGCTCACCAGGATTCAATCCAAACTGGCATCCCACATCACAAGTTTTCCAATCCTATGAAGAATTTCAAAAGGGTAAACACCAATTTCTAGGAACTTAAAACTGAAGAAGAACAAGAATCTAGTTTGCTACAAACAAGAACGTATGGCAATCAATGCCCACAAAACTCAATTATGTAACTAAAAGAGGTCATTAACTAAGCAATTCCAGTAAGAGATCTAACAAATTCAGACATTGGTATTAACGAAGCAAACTCTTGAATGAGCTTCAAACTTGTTCAAGCCAAAAGACCAGTAAGATCAAAACTCCAAGCTAAAAGGAGAGATAGAAAGAACCTTCTCGGACCCAGAAACCAAAACAGGTTTCCTTTTGAAGTCCCTAGAGTACTCCACCGCATCCACCTTCTCCAGCCACTCCTCACAGTTAACTCTACCCATTACTCCATCAATTGTGATTCCAGTGCTAACATCTTCGATTTCTTCTTGCAAAGGCGGAGGTCCATAGAATAAGTCGACCCAAGAGTCCACCATAGCCGCATTTTTCGCGATATCGAGCCGACTTAGAGAAGCGATCTCTGCTATGACCACCATCGCTACAAACAGAGGCAAGAAATGGGTCCATTTCCACTTGCTTGCTGGAGAAACCCCATTAAAACCCATCGAATCATTATGGGTCGTTCCTGTTCTACAGATTTTTTGCTTTGATAACATACCCATCTGGGAAATCAAGAAGTTGAAGAAATTTGGGCGAGAAAACGAAGAGAATAGGAAAGGGATTGTTGATGAACAGAGTGGAATTGACTTGTTTTCAACATTTAAAGCTGTGTTGAAGCAATAGCCATAGTTAAGGCCAATTGGGTCAGAGCAGAAGGAAAGGGAATGATGAAAAGTGGAGTGGGGTTCGCTGGTGTGTCAATGGTTTCGTGTTCTTCAATCAAGAGAACAGGATTGTGAAGAAGAATCAAGCTAAGAGCGTAGATTTTGGTTGATTTTGGTTGATTTTGAAGTCTACGCTTAAAGCGGAGTACCTAATCCCTTCGTTTTTGCTGTGAAAGTTTCATACTCTTCGTTGGATTATGTCCCTCTTTGGACAACACCGTGGGCAGATGAACACTTTATCGTTACAACTTTGAGGCAATCTATGGAATATAATTTCTAATTTTATGTTTTCTTTTTTAATATTCTCAATAAGAAAAAAGAAAAAAAAAATAACAAATATCTTAAATTTTCTAAAAAAAGCTATTAAAAAGTATCTATTAATTACCATTATGTTTTTTCCTTAGTATATATATTTAGACGATTTTTTTATTAATAACTTTAAAGTTTTTAGAAAATTTATCTTCATACCATTTCTCCATAAATGAATTTTAAATTAATCTAAGTATTTTTTATTAATTGTGATTTTTTTTTTTCCATTCAAGTTCTTCCTTGGTAAAAAAATCTACTTACAACTTGACTCAACTCTTCCTCGAAAAAAGACGGGGCAAATTGAGTTGTCGATTCAGAATTTCCTGAATTTCCTATTTCGATTTCAATTTTGCTTGACAAAAGATAGATAGAAGTCTTTCTTCCCCTTTTTTTTATCGATTTTTTTCTTTATTCAAGGGTAAAATAAGTCAATTTCTTTTGTCGATCGATTTAAACATTGAGTTTGTTTGAAATTGAAAGCCTTTTGGCACTCAACGGACCTTTTATTTAGTATTGGTTTATGAAAGCGGAAAGATCTACTCTAAACATTTAAGTTCTTGAAGTTCTCACTCTGAACTTGATTTAATAAGATAAAAGAAAAAGATCAAAGTAAGACTCAACATTCATTCAAGCATATTCTCTCGTGAACCCATTTATTCTTGAACCTATTCTATAAATTCGGTCCCACTACTTCCATCCTACTCGTTGTCCAATAATTCGAGCATATTCTCTCATGAACCCATTTATTTTTGAACTTATTCTATAAACTTGGTCTCACTACTTCCATCCTACTCGTTGCCCAAAACCACTCGAGCATTGTACAAGTGCTTAAAGCTCCTTAGGGTCGTAGCGACATGCTCGGAAGCAAACTACCAAAGCCTATCAGAGAGAACTTGGCTTGGTTAGTTGATTCATCCATTTTCAACCCCAACAAACTAACAAAACATGAATTCAATGACATTTTATTTTAGTAATAATTGGATCATATTTGAAATTAATATTTTTCTAGTAAGTTAATATTATTTTTTTTTCCATACACCGTTCAGTCATTCAGAAAATATTCACTATTCAAAATCACGTCTTTTATTTGTTTAGAATATTAGGGACAAAATAGTAACAATCATCACAAATTTTCTAAGAAAAAACCAACAATGGTTTTTTTAAAGAAATATGATTGAATCTGCGTATTATAGCTTATATAAGATCGTAACGAAGCAAGCAAAGATATAATAGCTTAAGTCCCGTATGATAACCATTCGAACAAAGCAACTACTCAAGCGAGCACTTAGCCATCGACATACTCCATAAGCAAGAGAAAGGCTCCATCTAAAGAGAATCAATAAGTCTGTTCAAATCTATTGTTTTATGTAATAGTAATTTACATTTGAGGTCTCTACCTGAACTTCAAAATGAGAGTATTTCAAAACAGATGAAAAAGGGTGTGTATATCTATCTCAGTATCAGGGTCGGTGTCTAGCTTTCTCTATATCATGTATATTCATACCCTAAATCTATTGGAATTTCCATTTCTTCAAACTCAAAGAAGAAAAAAAGCAGGAGAAATGAAAGGGTTAACATATATTTCACTCTATATTTGATGAACTAAGAAAAAGTTTAGTTTGTACCATAAACAAACGTATTTTCTCCTTCCAGCCGTAGATCTTCTGGTAGAATTATTGTTGTCACTTCCCTTATTTACTTTTTGATGCTCTTTCAAAAGGAAAAACAGAATCGTGTCGCGTTCGGTTAACGAGCTTGAACAGCCGGGTGTTTTAACATGTTGGAATGAGTTGTTGTCAGCTCCCTCTTACACAGTAACACAAATCTGAATTTGGAGGCACAAAGTTTTTGCATCTGGCTTTTATCTTTCTGATGATAATCTTTTATATGGTGCAACCTGAGAGATCAAATAGCAGCATATTCGGTCCTGGATCATTTGTAAAATGCAATTATTGGTTCTCCAAAGAGAGATCAAAGGCAATCCCGAGTTTTACCCGATCGTTGCCTAAAGAATCAGAGGAAGCTTTCTTCAATCTTTTTGTAATAGGCGTGCCACCAGACAACTCTCCTGGATGCGTATCCACAAAGTTTTGATCTGAAACTTCTGCAATGAAGAGATAATAGACACTTAGTTAGTATGAAAACAGAAAAATCACATTAAGCATTGAACATTCATACAATAAGGCAAATTCCTTGACATGGATGCTCTAATTTAACCTAAGTGTTATGATCCCAAGAATTTCTGCTTTAATTCATCCTTAAACGGCTACTGTCCTAGAATTAGTCTACCATTAGCCTGGCTTCATCTAGAGGTTCATCAATATTCAAAATGCTGTCCATCCTAGTCATTTCTACTTGGTTTTATTCGTTTTTTCCGTACAACAATGTTCATCCAACTTTACATAAAGGACTTCTACTTTTTCAAATATAAATATACATCAATCAACTTCAAATTGATAAGATACGCAATCAGTTAGCCCGTGAGTTCTTAATTGTAACATAGCATGAAGAACTGTGACGTTAAATCTTGTGACCCAGGTGTAAACACTATAAATCAAGCAAAGGGAACAAAGTTACCAAAACACTGAAAACCAAGTTGAAACTATCCGATTAATGTATTAGAATATATAGATTTTCCATTGCTAGGAAGATAACACAATATCCTAAGCTTGATGTACAAATTTTACAACTCGGATGCACTAAGTCGTATTTCAGAAACCCTCTCATAGGAAACACATTTGATGAACACAAAATTTAAGCAAAAACGTTTGCAGGACTTCAAGTGGTGCAGGCAATGTGGCAACTAATGGTAACATCACAAAGTAATGGTCATATTGGTACACCAACACAAACTTAAATCAGAAAAACAGTGCATCTAAATGGTGCTTAAGTCAATACTACTACTAGTATAATTATTGCAAACACCTTCAACATAACGAAAAATGATTGGAAGATCACAACAACAAAATATGAAGCATATGGCCGATCATCATCAATAGTGTACATTCATAATAAGGGAATAGATTACAAATTTTAAGTATATTAGACAGTAGTATCAACGAAAAGTGAGACTCTGGAAAAGAGTTTGGAAAACATGAACAATGTGTTCGGGTACCTGCAACGATTGTATGAGAATCACGACAGCATGGAGGAATCTGCTGAGAACTTCTGGCAGATTGACAGGAGTTTGTCTTGTTTCTTATGTGACTCCTATCACTACAACTTCCACATTCTTCAAGAACATCAGTAGTTTCCGGAGTACGCTGATTTCCTGCAGAAGGGAAATGATTTATCCATACATCCTCTAAAATAGCGGGAGAATCGGCAGTCTTATGCAATAAAGGATCAGTTCTCCCAATGTTAGCCTTCTGCCAGGAGGCATCCTGAAGGACCATCGACTAAGAAAGAAATAAAACAAGAGGAAATCATTAAGGACGTAGAGGAATGATATAGGGAACTCACTCCCACTCTTGCTGTGGATGTATTGCCTCACCTCTGAAGAAGATATATTAGGCATGATCGGCTTCCGACGCATTTTCTGTTTCGAGGAAAAAGCACGAAGATGCCTATATCGATGCAAATCTTGGACAAAAGATGCTTCTAAAGCATCAAGAAATAATCTGTGTTTCTCATCTGTCCAATGTGTTTGCACCTGAAATTTCCAATTAGTAAAACAATGAGTAAAACCATTCCTCATATTTCACGTGAAATTTTCAAATTGTTCCCTAATATGAAATAAAATTTAGAGCTAAAACATTTGATACAAATAAAATGAGTGTCCTACAAGAGAAAATAACAACTAAAACAAGGGGAATTCAAAGAGTAAAATGTTTTCTTTTAAAAACAAAAAAACAAAATTGAATCAAAAAGACTTAACTCGAAATTCATCCACGATTTAACTTGAATATGCCCTAACACTAAACATTCAAATGGGAGGTACCCAAAACCACTCTACCATTAAAAATTTCTCAAGGCACCACCAAGAGAAAAAGAATCACTCATAATCAAGGATATTAGTTTCGAGAGCACAAAAACTAGGTCACACGAACTCCTGGCGCTACGTTCAAAGCAGAAAAACAAAGCACAGTCCGCAAAAACTCGTTGATACCAAGGAAAAACTCAAAATCATACTTCCAAGAAACAGCAAAAACAAAAGAGAGAGAGTCATAATTTACCGCATCCAGTTGAAAACAATGATGAGAAGGCATCAAAGGCAAATCCCCCTCGGACGCATCAACGGTATTGGAAGAAGAGTAGGATTCGGAGTTCAAACGAGTCAAGTCGCTAGCAGAGACCGACATGGATGATTCTCGATCTGCAACCGGCGGCGACATGGACGACGGCGTATGAGCGTCTACCATTTCGGAAGGATCAAAGACAAAGCGAAATCGTTCGGAGCAGCCAAATATAGAAAATCAAATCAAAGAAAAAAAAGGAAATCGTGGGCGAAAATTTAGGTCCGAAACCCTCTCGGGATTCAGGCTCGTGCAGATATGAAGAGAGATAGAGAGGGATTCGGTGAATGGTGGTGGTCTGTGTTTATTTGGGGGCGAAACCCATATAAAAAGGCTCCACATGGGCAACGCTTTTACACGTGTAAAAAGCGTCAACTCAATTCCACGTCATCGCCGATATAAATATCTGTGGCCAATGTCAGCCAGATATTTTTTTCTGCCAACCTATGCTAACATGCACCTTTCTCCACGCGCCATTCCGATATTTTTTCGCGCGTGATCCTAAAATCATCTCACTTTCTTCTATGCTTAAGATTTTTATTTTAGATTAAAATATCATTTTATTTTTAAATATCTGAATTTAATATCTATATTTTTTAGAAATATTTCTTAATATAAAGAAAAAAAATTTTACTTTTATTCTTTTTATCAATTTTGAACCATATTGGAAAAATATCTTACTATCCATTAAAATTATTTTTATTACATTACCAATATTTTTAAAATAAAAATTAAGTATATAATTGTCTTTTTTTTTTAATATTATTGATTGAAAAATATTAAATATGGTCTAAAATAAAAGATTATAATAACTATTAAAATGGAAGAAGTTAAAGTAAAATCAAAATAAAATATTAATAATCATTATGATTAGATTTTTGTTTCCAATAAAATATCTAAATGCACTTTTTTGAGTTTGTTTCTTAAAGGGAAAATATAATATAATTATAATGTCATCATCAATTATGCTTTTTTTTTTATAATTCAATTAAGTTCCTTTTAATCCAAACTTTTTTAAAATAAAAATAAAAATTATACTTTATATTAATATTCCAATTAGTTGAGTAATATTCAACTTCTTTCCTTGTTGGTCTCCAACGAGACCACAGGTCAACCACCTAATTAGAAGTAGCCTTAGCCATTAGACCACAGGTCAACCACCTAATTAGAAGTAGCCTTAGCCATTAGACCACAGGTCAACCACCTAATTAGAAGTGGCCTTAGCCATTAGACCACAGGTCAACCACCTAATTAGAAGTAGCCTTAGCCATTAGACCACAAGACTCTCAGTCCAACCACCTAATTAGAAGTCAACGCCATTAGGCCACATGACTCATCCAATGGGATTTGAAATATGGAAGTAGAAACATTATGTATGGATAAACATAATAAAAATATACATGAATTCTCACTGCATCAATCATTAACTAACACACCCGGTGGGACTTGAACCCAGAACCCACAATCACCTGATTAGAAGTCAAAACGTCTTATCCATTAGCCAAAAAATCATTAACACACCCGGTGGGACTTGAACCCACAATCGCCTGATTAGAAGTCAGACGCCTTATCCATTAGGCCACAGGTGCTCTTCCTGTTGGATTCAAACATCTCGAACCCACAAAACAAGATTCTCACTGCATCAAAAAATTTATAAATAACAATGCAACAAAATCAATCATTATCACACCCGTTCGGACTCGAACCAATATCTATTGGGCCACGGGTGCTCTTCCCATGGGACTCAAAACATCTCGAATCTACAAAACAAGAATTCTCAAACAAAATCAATCATTATCACACCCGTTGGGACTCGAACCAATATCCATTGGGCTACGGGTGCTCTTCTTGTGGGACTCAAAACATCCCGAATCTACAAAACAAGAATTCTCAAACAAAATCAATCATTATCACACCCGTTGGGACTCGAACCAACAATTGCGAATCTACAAAACAAGAATTCTCACTGCATCAAAAATTTTGTAAATAACCATGCAACAAAATCATTATCACACCCGGTGGGACTTGAACCCACAATCGCCTGATTAGAAGTCAGACGCCTTATCCATTGGGCCACGGGTGCTCTTCCCATGGGACTCAAAACATCTTGAATCCACAAAACAAGAATTCTCATTACTGCATCAAAAAATTTATAAATAACCATGCAACAAAATCATTATCATACCCGATGGGACTTGAACCCATAATCACCTAATTAGAAATCAAACACCTTATCCATTAGGCCATGGGTGCTCTTCTTTGGGACTCAAAACATCTCGAACCCACAAAACAAGAATTCTCATTGCATCAAAAAAATTTTATAAATAATCATGCAACAAAATTATTATCACACCCGATGGGACTTGAACCCACAATCGCCTAATTAGAAGTCAGACGCCTTATCCATTGGGCCACGGGTGCTCTTCTCGTGGGACTTAAGAACCCACAAAACAAGAATTCTCACTGCATCAAAAAATTTATAAATAACCATGCAACAAAATCAATCATTATCATACTCGTTGGGACTCAAACCCACAATTACCTTATTAAAATTCAGACGCATCAAAAAATTTATAAATAACCATGGAACAAAATCATTATCATACTCGGTGGGATTTATTAGAAGTCCTTATCCATCATCTCGAACCCACAAAACAAGAATTCTCAGCTGATTAGAAGTCAGGCGCCTTATCCAATTGGCCACGGATGCTCTTCCCATGGGACTCAAAACATCTCGAACCCACAAAACAAGAATCCTCACTGCATCAAAATATTTATAAATAACCATGCGGATTAGAAGTCAGATGCCTTATCCATTAGGCCATGGGTGCTCTTCCCGTGGGACTCAAAACATCTCGAACCCACCAAACAAGAATTCTCACTACATCAAAAAATTTATAAATAACCATGCAACAAAATCATTATCACACCCGGTGGGACTTGAACCCACATCTCGAACCCACAAAACAAGAATTCTCACTGCATCAAAAAATTTATAAATAACCATGCAACAAAATCATTATTACACCCGGTGGGACTTGAACTAACGATCACTTGATTAAAAGTTAGATGTCTTATCCTTTAGGCCACGGGTGCTCTTCACATGAGACTCAAAACATCTCGAACCCACAAAACAAGAATTCTCACTGCATTAAAAAATTTATAAATAACCATGCAACAAAATCATTATCACACCCGATAGGACTTAAACCCACAATCACCAGATTAGAAGTCAAACACCTTATCCATTAGGCCACAAGTGCTCTTCCTATAGGAATCAAAACATCTCGAGCCCACAAAACAAGAATTCTCACTGCATCAAAATATTTATAAATAACCATGCAACAAAATCATTATAACACCCGGTGGGACTTGAAGCCACAATTGCCTAATTAGAAGTTAGATGCCTTATCCATTAGGCCACAGGTGCTCTTTCAGTGGGACTCAAAACATCTCGAACCCATAAAACAAGAATTCTCATTGCATCAAAAAAAATTTAAATAACCTTGCAACAAAATCATTATCACACCCAGTTGAACTTGAACCCACAATCGCCTGATTAGAAGTCAGACGCTTTATCAATAGTAGGAAATACACTAGTGGTTCAAAATACTAATTTACTATAATTGATGTAGTTAGAGTGCCGCCTAAGATCCAAATTGCTTCAAGCACGGGTGCTCTTCCCATGGGACTCGAAACCACAAAACAAGAAATCTTACGGCATCAAAAATTTTATACAAACATAAATAATCATGCAACAAAATCGTTATCACACCCAATGGGACTTGAACCCACAATTGTCTGATTAGAAATCAGATGCCTTATCCATTAGGTCTTGGGTGCTCTTCCCATAAGACTTGAAACATCTTGAACCCACAAAACAAAAATTTTAACTGCATCAAAAAATTTATACAAACATAAATAACCTAGCCACAAATCATTATCACACCCAGTGGGACTCAAACCCATAATCGCCTAATTAACGTCATATCCATTAAACCACAAGCACTCTTTTAATGGAACTCGAAACATGGTAGCAAAATCACATCCGGTGAAACATTATGCATGGATGGTATGAACGGTTTATTTGAAGTCAAACGTCTTATTCATTAGACCGCGTACACTCTTTCTCAAAACATGGAAGCATTCCCATAAAAGAGTAAAATGGAGAATTTCGTGAACCCGAGACACACAGTTCAATAATTTTTCTAGTGTCGGTGATTTGATCATCTCGTATCCGAGCTGTGGAATAATAAGAACTTGCTTCCCTCTCATACGCCTCAGTAACGTTCACCTTGAACCTTTCCTCCTCTTCTTTGTCCCATTGCTAACGGTAAGAATCCTACTTAGGCTAATTAAGAGAACGATCATGGTATATAAATTAGGGACACCATGTCTATTAGTACGAGACTTTTTGGAAAACTAAAATCAAAGCTATTAGAACATATACTGATAGTAAACAATATCATATTATTACGAGTGTTCGTTGTTCCTAACACTTAACGAGGTCAAGAGAAAAGTTTAAAAACTAATATCGATGGGAACAACAATCCTCAACAATGGTATATGATAGTGTCCATTTCAAGCTCTCGTGATTTTGCTTTTGGTTTCTCCAAAGGGACTCATTCTAATGAAGATAGTGTCTATAACTACGATCTTCTCCTTAATTATCCAACATGAGACTTCATCGATCTTCAACAATTGTAACAGCTCAAACTCACCGCTAACATATTTTGGCCAATTACGTATTGACGTTAGTCTCACGATTTTAAAAGCATCTATTAGGGAGAGGTTTCCACACCCTTATAAAGAATGTTTCGTTCTCCTTTCCAAGCAACGTGGGATCTCACAATCCACCTTTTTTGGATTTAAAAATGCGTCTATCAGGGGGAGGTTTCCACACCCTTATAAAGAAAGTTTTGTTCCTCTCTCCAACGAACGTAGGATCAATCCACCCTACTTGAGGGTCCAACGTCCTTGCTTGGACATCGTCCAGTGTCTGGCTTTGATATCATTTGTAACAACTCAAGCCCACTGCTAACATATATTGTCTGCTTTGCTCTGTTGCATATCGTCGTCAGCTTCACGATTTTAAAACGTGCCTATTAGGGAGAGATTCTCACGCCCTTATAAAAAATGTTTCTTTCCCCTTTCCAACGAACATGAGATCTCACAATCCACCCTTCACGGGGGCCCAACGTCCTCGCTTGCACATTGCCCGGTGTCTAGCTTTGACACCATTTATAACAGCCCAAGTCCACCACTAACAAATATTATCCACGTTGGCTCATTA